AAACAAAACAAGACAGTAAAAGGATCACTTGCACTGCCGAATGGAGAACAGACAAGAGAAAGGCAAGGGCAGAAGCGGCAAGGTGCCCCAGGAGGAATTTACAGTCGTGCACTCGAGTGCGTGTGAGTTGTGTGAAGAGGATGGTGTCATGGGCTAGAGTGTTTGTAGTGAAGGCAGTAAGAAAGGGTGAATTTGTGTGTGTGTGGTTTTTTATGGTCTTTTTTTTTTTTTTAACGTTTTAGTTATTTTTGAGAGAGAGAGACAGAATCCAAAGCAGGCTCCAGGCTCCGAGCTGTCAGCACAAAGCCCGATGTGGGGCTCAAACTCACCGATCGGGAGATGATGACCTGAGCCGAAGTCAACGTTTAACCAACAGAGCCAGCCAGGCGCCCCAAGAAGGGGTCAATTTTTGAATGGTGCATAAGATTTTCTGTTGGGGGGTACTTAGGTGCTCAGTCATCTGAGCGTCTGACTCGATTTCAGCTCAGGTCGTGATCCCAGGGTCATGGGGATCAAGCACACTCAGTGCGGAGCCTGCTTGCGATGGTCTCTCCCTCTTCCCTCTGCCACTCCCCCCCCCCCGCCCCCTCCCCCGGCTCGCGCACTCTCCCTCTCGCTGAAAAAAGAAAAAAATTTAAAAAAAGGGAAGGGTGATACCAAGATTCTTGTACAAAAAGGAGGTTGAGAGCGGCCACTTACGAGACGGGAAAAATGAGGAGGGGAAGGATTTTGAGGGGAAGGTTGTTAAGTTGCGAACACGAACTAAGGTGCTCATCAGACACATCCGTGTGGCTCAGTCCAAGAGGTTGTTGGAGTCTGGTGTTCCTGGGATGTGGGCTGAATGTATCTTGGGTTCTATCAGCACGTAAACTGAATGGGATGGCGGAGAGACTGAGCGCAGAGAAGGCTCCAGGAATGAACTTGCAGTACTCCCAAGTTCAGTTTGGGAGAACTAGCAGCCGGGGGACGGGAAGCCGTGAGTTGAAAGTGGGCCCCAGAACAGCAGGGGGTTCACAAGGAAGGCTGCCCAACTCCTCACACGCTACCGTGGGCTCGAAGCTGACCACTGGGGTTGTGGCCGCCAGGGCCTAAGGCTATGGCGGGGGGCCGACGGGAAGGGAAGAGGCGCAAACGCGTGCAGTTTCTTTTGGGGTTTCTGGTAACGCTTGCACAACATCTACACGGAACCCCCTGAATCGTACAAGCGGTGCATCTCAAAGCCGTCTTTAAAAACCGACCACTGGTTTTAGCACCTGGAGGTGACTGCTGACCTTGAGCAAAGCAGTTACCGTGGGGCGACAGCAGCGAGAGCCTGACTGGAAGGGTCCAGAGAGCGAAGAGAGAGAACGAAGACATCTTTTTAAGACAGGGGAACAAAGTCCAGTTTGTTTTGTTTGCTGTTAGGGATGATCTAGCAGAGAAGCGAAGACCGATGGTGCAAGAGAAAGGAGAGAACGGCCGGTAGTCCCCACGGCTGCCTCACTTCTACCTGGACAGGCTCAAGGTGTGAGCGAAGGAACTGACCTTGGAATCCCACCGCCGGGAGGAAGGGCGGGCCACGCGGCACAGGTGAAGGTGGGGGGCGCAGCGGGAGCCTGCGGCCCTTCCTTCCCTCCCGTCGCTTCGGTTCAGCCCACCGTCAGGGAGCCCGGTGGCCCAGCCAGGTGAGGAAAGCGATGGACCCGGGGAGCAAAGCATAGCTGATGGGCAGTCCTGGGGCCACCTGAGACTTGCGGTCAGGAGTTTCAAGCAAGAACAGGCACAGCTCGATTTTTTCCAGTCACCTCTGGCGGCACAGGTGCACATGGCGCAGGCTGGGTCTCGACACAGCTGCACTCGCGAGAAGACACAGAAACGCGGACTCGGCTTATATTGCTGAACACCAATATGCCACTTTATTATTTGGATTGTTTCTTCCCATCTGTCACATACCTGTCAATGTTTACACAATGAGGAAAATCCACCAGCAGTGGAAGCAACCGACCAAATCAGCTGATGATTCTGTACCCTCTTAACACACATCGGTTCTTACTTGGTAGGGAGACCCTTACTTCGATTCAGTCTCACGGCTATTCTTAAGATCGGTGTCGAGATTGTCACATCTTTAAATACAGATAGAATTGCCAGAGGTACATAATTTTATATATATATATATATGTGTATATATATATAATATATGTACACACACGTACAGAAAAATACAAGACTAATTGTTTTTCCACAATATTTAATTTACACACTACTATAACTCTATGCAACTTCTGAAGACAGGTTAAGGGGTACAAGAAACTGTTTAGAGCTAGTAAAGAGTTTGGTCCAACATTATCTTCATGTAACGGGTATCTGCTCCCTCCCTTTTATGTGACGACGTACTATGACATACAACACATGCACAGTCATTCACTTACGAACAGGTGAGTAAGACGCCACTCAGACTGACCTCTGTACACCCAGAGGGCCAACCAAGCACACGCGACTAATAAGGCTCTATGATACAGCTGTGCAGCATGAACGGTCAACACTGCCGCTCCTAGAGTGAGCACCACATATACGTCGGAATATAAAAAACCATCGGAGACCAAACACACGTGGGTTAGTTAAAAGGTGCCATTCCAAGGCTATACATAATCACAGGAAGAAGTATTTACATTACTTGGAAAACAGCTGCAACAAAGAGTTTATTGCCAATGCCCTTTAGAAACTTCTCTCCTACGTTTAATACAGATGTTACGCTCACTGTCTATGTGAACCACACATCTTATTTCTGGCCCTTTATAAGATCCCTGCTCAGAATTTCAAGCAAATATGTTCTATGGCTTCACCCACACATCTTTTCTGGTAGCTTTCAGTTATAAATATCACAATGAACTAGAGCTGTAGCTTAAAACATATCTAGCCTAGGTCTAGAAAGTAAAAGAAGTATTTTAAGTATCACCTTTACTTAGTTTAGTAAGTATACTGTGAAATTCCCTAGTGCGGACTAAACTATACGCATCGTGAGTAGCAGAATCAGCGTGTACTTGGAGGAGCCGAGAGCCATGGAATGCAGTCCTTGGGTGCTCTGCCCCCTCTGCGGACAAAGCGACGGTCACTTCAGAGACACGAAGGGAAGCTACTGGGAGTGGGAAGGCCCCCCACCCCCGGCCCGGCCGCATCCCACCCCCGGTGTGGATAAGCACCGCTTTGAAGACCCCCCCGGGGCACAGCTTGCAGAGGCGGCATCCGGCCCCTCTCAAAGTTAGCAATCTGCAATATAGTGCCTCTTATGAGACAAGACGCCAGGAAAGAGGATTATCTGGTCAAAAGTCGTCTTTGTACAGGAACAGTTTAAAGCAAGAGTTCTTCGATTACTGTTTTGGCAGGAAGGCAAAGTGGAAAACACCTCCAGAAAAGAAAGAGAAAAAGAAGAAGAAAACCAAAACAACAACAAAACACAAAGCAGGCTTTGTGCGTTTTGTCTGCTGTACGTGTGAATTTCACTCTTTTATAGGTGTATTTTTTGATCAGCCAATTCTCCTAGCTTACTGGACAGCCAGAGAACATAGAAGAATGGAAAAAACAGAAGAGACCACCGAATTACCAAACTGCGAAAGATCACATCCCAGTAATTTTTTCTTTTCTTTTTTTTAATTTATAGGCTTTTGACTTTGCCACCCTCTGTGTGCACCTTTGCTTCCATATCAGGCCCTACAGTTTCTTCTATCTACAAGGTTTTAAAGGAAACCCTAGGATGTGCCCTACGGGAAGGAATTTACACCGAGCATCTTTTTGTTCTGTTGGACAGACGTACACTCTATAAGTAGAGTTAAGACACCATCAGTTCACTTCATCACGTTACAAAATAAGATTGTCTGCTTGTAATTTACCACTACGGGGGAAGCTGCCTTATAAATCTAAGTACTTTATCTCACCTAGTACAAAACAAGAAAATCTTTTTCAGTTAAATTTTACGAGCCCAACCTTGTTTTCACACTAGAGCTTAAGACAAACAGGTGTGGGTGTATCGAAATCATGGTTTTAAGGTTCTCAGTGCAGACGCTCGCTGTACTCCGCCCCTCACGGGCCTCGGGAGGCGGGGCTCGCACGCGCTTGCTCGCTGGCTCGCTCGCTCGCACGCTCGCTCGCAGGCTCCAGGCCCGGCGGCAACACAACGTTATTGCTTTGGTTCGGTCTCGGACAGCACGGCGTGTGCCTCAGGGCACGGAGTTTCCGTTCTCGCAGAAGGTCAGGACGGGAATTTACGTTTCTCACAAGGAGACAGAAGCATTTTTTCTCTCTAGATTAAGTGCAGGACATCCAATTTCTAAGTGCTCCGTGTATCTTAGGTCCCAAATATACATTTTAATTTAATCCTGATCATCCACATTAAAATTATAAATGTAAAAATGACACAAGAGACTTTTCGGCTGGAAAAGAAAAGCAGTGTCTAGCAGCATGCACAAAGACCATGCATTGTCACGTCGGCAGGCGAACAAACGCGAAGGTAATAAATAACTGCTCCGAACGCCCCCTCGAAGGGAGGAAGCGCGGAGAGCGGCCGGAGGGGCGGGCCGGAGGGGCGGGCCGGGCCGGGCCGGGCCGGGGCGCACCGCTCTGG